GCGTCTCTAGTAACCACTGTTTTTGCCCTAGGGCTTTTCTGTAATTACCAGTTATTAGTCTTTCTTGCGACTTCTACATTATATTTTATATTTAGTAAAAGTCTCGACACGTTTATATTAAATGTATAAAGAAAATTGCTATTGAATATAACTATAATTCCCATTGCCTATTTACACCGAATCGAAGCGATTCGGTGAAAACTAATGAAAATATTTCTTAACCAACCTTCTGAGCTCTTTGCTTCAGAATACGAGCTGAACTTTAGCGAAAGAACAGTCGAATCTAATTGGATATTTCTCAAAAAGAAATTGAGAAAAACCCAGGCAGCACGCCATTGTTGGACCCCCGTTTGCCTAATGTTGGCAAAAAATGGTTCCAATATTGGTCTGGCGTTGGCATTTTCGAAAATGCCACCCGATCCAATGGTGGTCCAACATTGGTGCCAATGTTGAACCACTGGATTGCCAACGTTCTAGCCCACGTTGGACCAACGTGGTTTGCGCTTTTTTATTCAATATTAGCATAGAGGTTTCACCGTTGGCTGAACCAACATTGGCATCCAGCGCCTTACACACTCGCTCTTCCGAAATTGGCTTAAATATTGGCTATTCCAATATTGGCATCTAGTCTAATACACTGGCTGTTTTTTGCATCCATTGTCTATGCCATTATTGGGTGCCATTTTTCAGCCAGTGTTCTAACCAACGTCACAAAAACAGTGCAGAGAACCAAGCAAGTCCCTTGCCCTTTTTCCTCAAGCACTGTTTTCATTCTGATACTAAAATCTAATAAACCCAGCAATCTTACCATATTTGAACACTTTAGAAATCATTAAAGCATGCAAATGAATTGTTCATAACGTTTGGCAGTTCATAATTGGTTTAAATCGAATAAAAAAATTTAAAAAAATGGTACAACCAGGAGGGCCTAGGCAGATTCGGCGGCAGGCTCGGCAGTGGACAGGGCAGAGGGCTGGGCGAAGGGTTGGGCAAAGGGCTGGACAAAGGGCTGGGCGGAGGGCTCGGTGGAGGGCTGGGCGGAGGGTTCGCAGCGGCACCGGACCCACACCCTCTCTACGTACGCTAAGTTCGCACTATCTCCATATAAGGCAGTCTTATTTTTGAATCCGACTTGACCGGTGACTGCCGTCATTTTGCGCATAAACACGGAGAGGCGGAGCAAATATTACTCCTCCTTAATGCATTATCTGAATTGTCTCTTCCAATAGCCCCCATTTCTTAATTCAACGCCCTGAACAAAGCAGATGTAGATAATTAGGCTAATTGGCTAAGACAGGCCAATGTTGGCCAGCCTGAGCCAATCGATCACCAATGTTGCTGGCCCATTGGCTAACACATACCAATGTTGGCCAGCCTAAGCCAATCGATTGCTAACGTTGGCACGCCATTCGTTAAGACAGGCCAATGTCGGGCAGCCTTAGCCAATCGATTACCTATGTTAATAACCCACTGGCTAAGACAGACCAATGTTGGCCAGCCTAAGCCAATCGATTACCAACTTTAGTAACCAATTGAGTAAGATATTCCATTGTTGGACAGCCTAAGTTAATGATATCGGTCTGTATTTTGAATAGTCATTTTTGTTTCCCGAGTTAAAAATGGGTAACGCTCTCCCAAATCCCCTAAGATCCCCTAGGTGGCTAAGTCAAGCAAGTGTTGAATTAAAGATAAAAGCGGGGAGGATATGTGCTTTGTTAATTTGGTTAGATACTGTCGGCACCCGAAGCTGAGCTTGGGGAGTTTTTCTATTACATTCAAGATACCGTTCGTCAGTCTCGCCCCATCGCTCGATCCTGCTGTTTCGCCGACACCGATGCCGACTTACTTCTATTTTGTTTTGGGCATAAGTTGGCCCCATTAGATGTTTAGTTTTTTTAGTTATTCTTCGCCTCATCATCTGTCATTCGTGACATTTTGCAATATGTCACGAATGACAAATGATGAGGCGAAGAATAACTGAAAAGACTAAGCGTTTAATGGGGGCGAACTTCTGCCCAAAACAAAATAGAATTAAGGGTCGCAGGCGTCGATGTCGGCGAAACAGCAGGATCGAGCGATGGGGCGAGACTGACTGCGGCTCGCCACGCGGAGCCCCTTATGTACACGCGTTGGCTTCTTGAACAATCGGCGTAGAAGGTTCGGCGTGTAGAACATTCGGACTTCGAAGAAGCCCAACAAGGTTCTCGAACTTACCGGAAATGCAAATTCTAAGAATTAAAGGGCCCCTGACACGCCAAAAAAAAACTTTTTTTTTTCATGCTAAGCTTTGAAATGGCATGTCAGGACATTACAAAAAAATTGTTTCACTATAGAGTTGCGTAGTTTTTTTTATAAAAAATAGAAATGCGAGGCCCAATTCAAAGATCCCGCCGTGCACTGTGACGTACAGTGTACCGCAAGGTGTCGGGGCGGTCAGAAGGGAGGCATCGACCTACGCCACTAAAAGTGGGTTCGCAGGAAGTCACGTGAGTTTCACTCCTCGTGCTCTCCGCGACCGTGCATAAGATTTTTTTTTCTGCTCTTTGTACGAGCGATCGTAGAAAACGAAGTTTCAGTTCCACTAGCTCTTTATCGCTGCACCGTTGGTTAGTTCGCGTGCTGTAAAATTTGAGGACGAAGAGTCAGTGGATCGACGTGATGGAGGTCAATGATGAAAGCGTTGCGAGTACAAGCCAGTGTACGAGTGCATGCCGTCAGTCCGATGATACAGGGCTATACTGGGAGCAAAACAAGCTATCAAGTTTTGAAAAAAAAATTTTGAACGCTCGCAAAAATTAGTATTGCTAGCATAAGACATGCCGGATCGCATTGCTGAAGGTTCAGACACCGAGGTCGTTGAATCATCGCATGCTTTCCAGGCTAAAGATTCCTGCCGTCTAAAGAATACGAACTGGTTTGTGTACCAAGTACAAGTAAACGTCGAGCACAAAGTACGTATTTTGTCTAGAACATGAATACAACTTTTTACTAGGTGCACATGCGGCCGACGTGTGTCTCTCGGAAATGCATGCAGTGTGATCTCTTCTTCAGTTGCTGAAATACCGGGACAGCCCTTCACACCGCACCTTCTAGGCATTGTAGTTGATCACGTCAGTTCACTGACTCCGCTTCTTCTACCTTTAGAGCAACATTAAGCGATGAAAAGCAAATAAAAGAAACCTTGTCTGCTTGGATCGCTCGTGGAGGTGCGGGGAATAACAAATAATATTTAAAATATATTACACGCGCTCGCGGTAAGCAGGAGGAGGGATACAACTCACGTGACTTCCGGCGATGCCTCCCTTCTGACCGCCCCGATACCTTGCGGTACACTGTTACGTCACATTGCACGGCGGGAACTTTGAATTGGGCCTCGAATTTCTATTTTTTATAAAAAAAAATACGCAACTCTATAGGGAAACATTTTTTTGTAATGTCCTAATATGCCATTTCAACGCCTAGCATGAAAATTTTTTTTTTTTTTATGTTGGCGTGTCAGAGGCCTTTTAATAAAAGACGCGTCGCTCCCAGGAATCGAACCTTGAGCTTCCGCACGAGTCAGCGCGGTAACCACTCGGCCACGCACGCGCTCGCTCGCCGACGCGCGTGACAATAATCACCTCGTGTAGTTACCACCACCTATTGTTCCTTCTTGTTTAGTCTTTTTTGTTTTCATTTTTTGCTGTCGATATTTGTATACACCATGTCCATAATTAATCACAGCTTTTCTTTTTCGAATTCACCTGTTGTTCATATTTGTTTTATTGTCCCCCCTTATATAATGTACTTTCCATGTACCTTTGCGGGATATAAGATGAGATGAAATGAAATGAAATCCTAGCGGTCAGATTCCTCGCGAAACATCTTGGGTATATCGGTTGGCAACTAAGTCGCAGTTTCAATTGCCCAACCTCACTTCATAACATCAGGTCACAAGCAAGTGCAGTGCTTGAATTTTCAAAACTGTGACTTTACTTAAATTTATAATACGCAAGCCCGGGTGCGTATGTGTGTGTGGGTGGGGGGGGGGGGGGGTCTTTGTCGTGGCTAGATGAGGTTAGTGCAGAACACAGTCCTCTATGTCGAGGCAAACCCGGATCATAACAACCTGTACACGGAAAACGAGGCACTCTTGACAAGAAAACGTCGTTGAGCGCGTCGACATTCTAATCTTCCTGGTATCTTGGGGTCTTTTTTCGGTTGTTTGGGGGTCAAAAAATGTGTCCAACGTTTGTGCAACATAGATGGGTGACGCAGGGGCAGACAGTGTGATGTTCTACGTGAAAAATCTCAATATTTTCAGTTATTTCGGAAACATATAATTCATTACTTGCAACTGATTAGAGAAAAGTAGCTATTGAGTTACAGCGAACATTACCCCCTAAAAAAAAGTAAGTGAAGCGTTAAAAGTTACAAGAAATGAAATTGATTTCAAATAATCAGTTCCTTGTAACTCATTACTTACAAGACCGCTCTATATGGTACAGAGTGCTTGCTTGCCTTCATCTTCCGTGTTGTTTTATTATATCAAACTAAATAAAAGCCTATTCACTATGCGCTCATGTTAATCAACCACCCCACTACCTAAATGCATATCGAGTGATCACTGTACATTCTGTACACAGCATACTTTAATGCCATGTATGAATAAAATAAGCACTTTTTATATCGCATTTTCTCGCGTATTTTTCACTGTTTCCACTCGCGACATTTTATTAACAGCCAAGTAACATATTGTGCGGTTAGTCACATGAAATGAATTCGCTTCTGATGCTATGCCACTGTCAGGAACACTTTGAAGCATATATGTATCTACTATGCCTAGCTTATTCGGAATATGTATAATATTGTTCAAACGCTATATACGGGAGCCCATGGTCTCTGCGTTGAGACACCTGACTCGTGACACCGAATACGTAAGGAGCCTTTCAGTGCGTCATCCTCGAGTTCCTGCGCCAGGACGGCGATGAGATAAGAACGGCGATTGGCCCCGGCGTTGACTATACGGTACTGTTCATTGTGACCTCCGTGCTGATTTGAAAGAGGAGCGTCCCAGTGGTCGAGAACGCGACCATGCTGAGCAGGAGCGACATTGCCTTCATGAACACTCCGGGCACGATCTGTATTGAAAAAAAAAAATAGCACAAACCTCTCTCACATTGTGTTATTTTCCAGAAAACTGCGCCTGCAACGTCGCGCGAAAATCATCATCACTATTGGGAAAGCGGGATGATGTGATGACTGTGTGTAGATCCTCACATGGAAACCAAAAGTTAAACAAATGTAATTGCACTGTCGAAAGAATACGCGCCGAGAAAGTGAGTGAGAGGAGGAGACAGGAGCGCGCGCGGACGGCAAAACGCCAAGCTCTGGTTTGAACGATCAGTGCGCAGAGCTAAAGCTAGCTGCCTTTGTCTCCACTGCACTCGTTGAACGCATTAGAACGAGGAGCGCCGGCGTCCGCTGTTTGACTTTTGGATTCTAACGCGCTCGGCGAGTGCAGTGCAGATAAAGGTAGCCTATGAATTCGGGTAAAGTTCTACTGACCATGTCGACGACGGAGAGCCCTCCAATTTCAAACACAATAGCATTCCAAGCCTCCGATGACGGCAAGATAAAGGCGAAATTATTTGCCAGTCCCATTGGTAACGCATAATACAGGGGGCTTGTCAAACTTTCCCGCTGCTGCAAAGAAGACCGACACACCCACAATGAGGATTGTGTACCAAAAAACCCCGGAACGCGAGCGCTTACTCATAAACATCCTGCTTTGTTTTGTCGTGATCATTCTAAGCCGACGTTTCGGGCGTCAACAACGGAAGTCACTGGGTTCTTTTTGCGGGTATAGCACGATTGACCGCGGGCAGATCCCCTGTTGAAAAAGCTCACCGTCAGCAGCTTCGAAAACCCCGCGTTCAATGGGCAATTTGAAAAAGTTCAGCGTCCCTAGGGGTTTAGGTGCACTCTGGGAGCAGGAGACTGTCAACCTGTAGCTTCGGTTTTGGTTTCACTGGGTGGCGCATTTACCATCTTTTATCGTATCTGCACCGCCATGCTCACGTGGCCGTAGATTGCTCCACATTTGCGCTCGTTTCAGTAAGTGCACTTTTCTGCTCGTTGCTACATATCAGACAACGCGAATAACTAAACATTTACGGTTTTGCTGGCATGGGAGCGTGCGAACGTGCCGCAACGGCGAAGTCAAGTGAACGCACATCGACGTACACCAAATGCCTTGCCAGCTCCCTTTTTCATTTGTTTGCAACCTCGAGAACAGCCACTCAGACAAGTGATCCAGTGTTGTAACACCCTCGTTCCCGTGGCCAGTTTCCTCACAGCGACGTAGCAAGGGGTGCGCGTTTGCGCTTGAACGGATACTCGTACAGCGAAGTTCGTCATGTACCGCGTTAACCTGATTGAAAATAGCGATTGGCTTAGCAAGGATGTTATAAAACTGGGGTACTGGTCTCAGTGACTGTTCTCGACGTTGCAAGCGAATGCATGCAGTGAGCTGGTACGTCGTTCGGCATACGTCGATCTGTGTTCGCTTAACTTCGCCGTTGCGGCATTTTCGCTCGCTCCCTACGCCAGCGCAGTCGTAATTGTTTCGTTATTCGCTGTGTATAATATGTAGTGACGCGAAGAAGAGGGTACTTACAGCGTCGCGCTTAAGTATGCAGCAATCCACGACGACGTGAGCAACGGTAGTGCGAAAACGATAGCAGACGACAGATGGAAGAACCCGTCGGATCCGAAACCGTACCTATACGTTGAATCTTTTGCTCTCAGAGTGCACCTGAACCGCTAAGGCCGCTGATATTTTGCATATTGCGCATTAACCCGTCCCGTATTCATCACGTGCGAAAAGCCCCGTCCTCACTGCCCCGTCCCACCGTCTTCGCGCTTGAAGTATTTTAAGTGAAAGGAACAACAAGATAAGGTTAATTTGAACCGTAGAAAAACTTAGAATGATGTACTAGTGGCCAGTTGCATAAATCTGCATTACTAGCAATCCACTTCGCTGTCATAGAATTAAACTCAGGCGTAGAATTACAGACTTTATCTATCTAGATGGATACAATTTTCTTTAGAACATCGTCAGAAGAATGGAACTGAAATGCTGCACGTAATAATAATGCGCCATGAGCTGCTGGTTAACAGTTTTGACAAAACCCACTTCGTCGGAACTGTGAATCCGCGCGTGCTTCAGAGTCGACGAAAGGTTTGGGTCAATTCTTATTTATAGAAACTGTAACTCTACATGTTTTTACTTGTGACTGATATTTTTTGTTTGCTTTCACTTCTATTGCCTTGTGTGTATAGCGCGCGCCTCAACGGGATGCTTTGTCCAGTTATTCCTTCCTTGAGTCCGGGGTAGGCCTTATTACGTTACACAAGCTCGCGTGCATACTTGCTGTCGTTAGAAGCCGAATGCTCCCTCCGCCCTCACGCTAAAGGCCCAGCTACTTGACATGGGGGATTCGCGTTATGGGCTTCTGCGACTGGGGCTTTTGAAAGCGGGGCAAAAAGGGCGAGGCGTTTGCCGCGGGCCATTTGACGTCGGGTGCTTGCGTGCACCCTTTTTTAACGCGAGAGTGTTAAGGAGCTCGTGTCGTACGAAATTCAGTGTCGGTGGCGTGACGGGAAAATATTGATTGGTCGATGATGTCATGACGTCCCGCCACCTCTGGCAGGAATTTAAAACAACCCGCAACGCTCACGCGTGAATGAAAGTGATTAAAAAAACATGACATGACATATAATGCGAATTAAAGGTCGCCCCATGTCTCAAATGTTTTCACTTTATGGAGTAATTAATTTGCTTTAAAATTTGTGAAGAATTTTAGACGGGATTCGATGCTACGCCATTCGGTTGCGAGCCAGACACGCTACTACCAGTCCATGTCCGCCGCACTTCCAGCTCACTGGCACGAAGAGCATGAGAAGTGAATGAGAAGGCGATGCGAACGAGGGCCCGATCACGCTATCGCGTTCCACTCTTAAAGGCGAAGCTTAAGCGTCCTCCAATTTGTTTTGCTTAGGATTAATTTAGCGACACTAGAGCACGTACAGAGATATGACAAACATCATGATGGTGGTTTTAGACGTTGTATGGTTGGTCCCATCAGCTCGCAGCGTCGGCTACATGAAACAAAGGCGAAACGAAGGAGGAGGAGAGGAGAGCCTGCGGTGACGTCAGAGCGCCCTACTCTGATCGGAGTGATAGGGGGTAGGCGCTAATGCTAGCTGTATTTGTCAATTTGTTTACCGTCCATTCCGAAGCGCTGCTCGTATGCGTGTATGCGTGTTGACCCTTGGAGGTCAACTAAAGAAGCAAACTCACTTTTTTCTCCGCCAGTGCGAGAATGCCTTGTACAGTCATCTCGGCGTTTGTGAACTCGGTGATGAGTGAGCTGAGGAGCACGGCAACCATCATGTTGCTTGTTAACCCCAAGTTGATGGAACCCGCAAGATCAAGGGCCTCCGAGAAAAAACCGCTTAGCTGCAATAGACCATCAGGGTGGTAGGTGAGAATGTCGGCCCATATCCGATACGACTGAAGCAGGGATGGGCGAAATACATGCAAATATGTATCGAAATATAAATACAAACTACTTCGTCAAAAATGTATTTAATTACAAATCTAATTACATTTCCCAAAAAGCATTTAAGTACAAGATACAGATAAAAACAAATGTATTTGGTCTCCTCCAAATACTTTTCCAAATACATTCCTCAAAATTTGCGTCGGCGATTTCAGGGCACCTGCGACGGATTTTTCTGTATATCATTTTAATTTTGCATCGCACACTCGGGAGTTAGTGTGCGAGGCTCTAGTAACGTAATAGAAATATAATCACAAAAAAATGTAATCAGCTTGGACGTAATAGGTGAAAAAAGTACAGAGCTTCAAGCAGCTTTTTTTGTCGATTACATGTTGGTATAGACCAACAAAGAACCGAGACGACCAAGACGCGCAGCACTAGCTAGAGAATTTTTTATTGTTGCAACTCGCACCAGTTACGAAAATCTGGACGACCCGCGCATTTAGAATGTTCCAGGCAAAAATATGGATGGAAATCAGGCTGGAAAGCTTGACAAGTTGTCACAGGCACTTATTTAGCCAGTCTGCCTGTGAACGTCGATTTCGTCACTATTCTTGCCCTGGACTAGCACCGTAATCACAAAGTCACTAAACGCTTGTGCTTGATAGAGAGACACTGCATTCGGTGCAGAACGTTTTCTTCCTGCTCTGGACAGTGACAATAAATTTGAGGGATGTATTTTCGCCCACAAAACTGTATCTAATTACAATTGTATTTGAAATACCCACGTTTTAGTATTTAAGTACACACCTCAAAATACATTACCCAATTTGTAATTAAATACAAATGCAAAATACACACAGTATTTGAAATACGTATTTCAAATACTTGTATTTTAAATACTGCCCATCCCTGGACTGAAGTAATCTACTGAAATTCAGCTTCTCATGAAGAAATTCAAGTTCCGTTCGCAAAGGAGGATGCTCCGGCGGACAAATCTTTGAGCTTCTATTTTGTAAACCATTAAGGACTACTGGCTACAGTCATGGATTTCTACAGCGATCTAGCGTATTCTAGATGTTTCAGTTTTTAGCTTACGCGCGCAGCACCTGTCACCTCCAGGTACGTAATATAAACTGTGGATTTTGCCTCAGACAACTTTATTAGATTAGAATCAGTTATGTAACTATGTAACTGCCTATAAATACTTGCACCAGCGGTACCAGCCTCTCTCCGCCCGGCCTGCTCCCCCCCCCCCCCCCCCCCTCCCCCCCGTCGTTCAACGCGCCACCGTTTCTGGGGGACAGATGCTTTAACTGCAGTGCTCCATGGATTACGTATGTTTCGAAGTGCAGCGTTTAGACGGCGCTTTACCGTTCTCAATGGCAGAGCCGCATTCGCGACTCCAGCAAACTATGGGGGGCGTGCTGGTCAGACAAAATGGCGAACAAAGGAATGTCGCTTTCGTCGTTCAGCACGCGGACCACCATACAATTGTTATAGTGCAGCGTAAAATCGGTGTTACGTATTAAAGCAAAGCGATTTTTCGACGGTACAAACCTGCGCGTAGGAATGAAACGGCGGAAGGCATAAAAATAATTACTGGAAACTATGTTTGTTTCTATGCTGCCTACGAGAACCAAGCAGCAATAGCAGACAACAGAGTCGAAACGACCTACCCCCTTGAGCTTCTCGGCATTGCCGCTACACGGCGTCGATTTCACTGTAGACGCCAATAATGGGAGAGTCTGGCCAGCAGGTGTGTCGAAAACGCTGGAGACGAGAAAAGTGAAGGAAAGGGGGAGGGCGCCGAAGGAGCGAGAGAGGAAGGGGGGAGCAAAGAGGAAACGACCGCCATTTTGACGCAACATGCTTGCGGCGCAGAGCACTGTTGAGGCCATAGGCGTAGATTACGGGGGGGGGGGGGGGGGTAGGGGGCATCGCCCCCTGGTGAGGGGGGGGGGGGGCGGAGCCCCCCCGGGCCATGATTTTTACCAAGACGCTGTTTACGTGCCATATAACGAGCTTCTAGTAGTGGCATGTACACAAAATAACGCCCACGTTGCCTTTATTGACAAAATACTTGGGAAATGGAATCCCAGTGTGCTTTCGTTAGCTTCGATCTCCAGTTCTGGCGAGAAGGTAACGCGGTATCGATCACTTTTACCTACGCTTCATCTGCTTCCACAGCAGCCCGCTATTTTGCGATGTCCCACCAGAAAAAAAAAAGATAAATAAAGCAACCTCAAGTTAATATAGAGGGCGCCTACTCCGATACCACGGCGGATGCGCCGTGGTTTTGGCGATCAACACACGGCTACGCTTGCAAGGTGATATTCATACGTTGTAAAATGTACCCCCTAAATTAAGCTACTGATAATTGCCGGTGTAAAGAAAAATTGCGTGGAAAAGCACTCCCCCCCCCCCCCCCCCGGGAAAATGGAAAGTCTACGCCGCTGGTTGAGGCTTCGCGTCGCCTGCTACGGGTCGACTTCTTTTTTCGCCTGAATAAAAGTTTGCTGTCAAACGTGGTTAAAGGTTCATTCGTTAGCTTTTTAACCCACCGAGGAATAGCACTTTATCATTTTCTTGGCAGAGCCAGCGAAACAAAAGAAAGGAAGCAAAATTCGGATGTCGTTCCCTTGCATTTCACCGGGCGAATTAATGAAAATGGCGGCCCTCCCCGCACAGCTGGGAGCAGCCGGGAGTTCACGCGCATGCGTTCGTGCCTCTCACTCTGCGCAGCGGGCTAATGGGCTCGCTCGGGAGGGGGGCTTTACTGCGGCGAGATCATAAACTGGCCAAACTCTCTAAATATACAACTCTGCGCTATGGAACAGACAGTTTTGAAACGGAAGTCTATATCGCGCTTCAAACGACGGGGGGCTAATACCCGTACCACACGGGCAACTCGAATGCCCTTTACACCGAATGACATTTGAGCGGACGGCCAATCAGCACGCGCACCTCCGGGCGTTGCGCATTCCACGCGCGACAGATTGGAAGCTGATTTGTCGATCACACAAATGTCATTCGTTCTAAATGGCATTCGAGTTGCCCGTGTGGCACGGGTATAAGGTCCCTACGGGAGGCCGAATGAACGGAGTGAGGGGGTATCCCCCTCCGCAGGAGTTCCACAACATAGGCAATCTGGTAACATTGACCTAAGACGCGCAAGAAGGAGGCTCCTGACACTGTGGCGGTTCGCTTTGCGAGGCTAACATAATGAGGCGAACATAACTCCCTACACGAATTCCATGTCAACCCTGGATAACGAGCCACTCTTATGCAAAGAAACAAACAAAAAAATCTTTTAGCCTTTTTTTTTTGTTTTGTGAAGAAGGAAGACCAGCGAAGCTGTACTATGGTGGCAACGAAGTAATGGCCGGCCGCAAGTCGGCAAGCCAGAGTGGAAAGCCTGGGAAGGTTGCCGCCATCTATGAGCGACGGCGGCAACAAGGCAACCGGCAAGCCGGTTGTCTGGTGGCCGCCGTCGCTTATAGGTGGCGGTAGCTGTCGAGAGTTTGGTGTCATCATTTGTTCGCTTAATTCGTAGCATTAAAACGTGGTATTAGTTAATTCGTGGCATACAAAACGAGCGTGCGATGTTCAACACTGGGCAAAGATACAGTATTTGCCAGGTCAATTTGTTATGAGCATTGATCAATTGAGATTATGAAATCCGCGATTTTCCATCTCACGTTCTTAGGGAACACTGTTAATGTAAATATTACCCGGCATTTTTTTAACCAATTATGTTACTTAGTTTTAGTCTACAGATTGAGGACACGCGCGAAACATGGTAATTTAGAAGTATTTTAAATGCGTGACCTCGCTTGTTCTGGTTCAACTTTGTACTTGTTTCGGAAATAAACCGTGTATCCTTATCCTTCGGAGGTATTGGGTACATGAGCCTATTAAAGACAGACCATAAAAACGGTTTGGAACCATTCAGAGTCGCGATTTCTGCAGGGAAACAGTTTAAATATGTTGCAATAAACGTACACTGGAACATGGACATTTCGACGTCTAATTCAGGATTTTTATCGTGCTGATATATTTGGAGAGATGAAAGGGAAGCTGGCTTTGGTACCGTTTCAAACTTAGCTTTGACTGTTTAGTCAGCACTTCTTCTGGTGACCTTAAAGGAGCGGTGCAACGATATTCAATTGGAATGTTTTTCACTTGACACGAGCTTAATGGCACACCTGGGACTCAAGGATACTCACACGCAACGCCACTGGCCAAGAAACTCCTTTCTTGCGGTGTAATTTCAAGGACAAAAGCGATAATTTTCATTCAATCTCTCCTTTGCAAAATTTGATGACGTAACTCGGGGATCGCAGTACACCCAAGTGACGATATTTCAATGCGGTTCATAGATTGGACCCGAGCATTGCGTGGGCACTCGACTTGGGCTCGTGATAATTGCTAGCTCGAGAAGCATTCGGGTAGTGACCCGTGTCCAATCGCTGCAACGACGACAACAGCCGAGCCATAACAATGTCTGGAACTCAGCGCGTGTCCTGCGCTTTGCCAACCCCAGCGCGTGGCTATGATCAACACTGGCGGCATATAATCGGCTCCAGATCACGTGGCCGCTTGTTCTGGCTCCGAGTTGAGGGGGTGAACTCTGCTCGTTTTTCTTCAATTTTTTTTCTGGGACTTCTATTGCGTGGGGTGAAAAACGAACGCGTGTTTCATTGGTCATTAACGTTAGGGATTCGTTTTAAGCGGTATTTGGGCAAAGTACAAAAATTGTTGCATTGCTCCTTTAAGCTGACAAATGGAGTTTCCAATATAGAGGTATCGTAGCTCATTGCTCAAGGGTGATAGACTTGACTGTCATACACTCCGTTTCACCTTACAGTGGGCCACAGAAGACGCTAAGAGCCATCGAAGCCGATCACGTGACCTTCGGGCCTCCGGGAGGGGCGGAGCAATGCACAGGGAACGTCGTCACGTGATACGTTCTCAGCGCTGGATATGTTGCGATGGTTCGTAGCGTCCGTTATGAGGAAGAAACTCACCCTCACGATTTCGGTGAGTGTGGAGCCTCCGCCGACGATGAAGATGATCGCCCAGGGCATGTTCTTATGTATGAACTTCCACTCCATGAGCCTGTGCTCCAGCGAGAAGTTGTATCCCTTCGCGGGCATCATGAAGGCGATGAAGGTGATCAAGAAACCCACGGATGAGTCGGTCACGTAGTTCCTGGATGGCCGTGCAGTTCCATACTCTCATTGCACCGTACAAGTTACTGGCTCCAAGCTAAAAGGGATACTCAAAACATGCCTGGAAAGGTGCGTCAGCAATTAGCTCGGAGACGCCTGTTCAATAAAAATAAAATAAAAATATGGTATTTGCTTGCACGGAGAAAATAATAAGTGAAGGGAAAACACGTGGCTTCCTGTACCGTGAAACCTGTCGCGACCGTTTATAACGAAGTCAGTTATAACGAAGTAGCGGCTCTAGCGAAGCGATCACGATTTCCCATTCCCTTTAGCACTTTTTCAATGTATTTCTGCTTTTAGTGAAAAAAAGAATTGAGCGGCTCCCGTGAATATGGCGAAGCAAAATTCTCTGATAATAATAAAAAAAAAGTGAAAGCCGTTTACAACTTCCTGTAACGCCGAATTGGAGCGCAGCTCTTGAGGAGGAGGAGTGGAGGGTATATTCCTCCTCCTTCCTCGTGATCATGCCTGCTAGCCCCGGGGGGGTCACGTGACCCCCTCCCCCCGAGGTCAAGTGACCCCCCCCGGACCATACTAGACAAAGAGGGGAGGAGGGGGAGGAGGAGGAGGACAGAGGTCCGGGGGGTCACGTGACCTCGAGGGGACGGGATCACATGACCTTGGGCGGGCCGTCACGTGACTTCGGCGGGGGGAGGGGAGTCGCCCCCCGGGGTCACGTGACCTTGGCGGGGGAGGAGGGGGGAGGAGGGGGAGGGGCGACGCCGACGCCGCACAGGCTGGAAACGGGTCATGTGACCCCCTCCCCCCGAGGTCACGTGACCCGCCCGGACCATACTACACAATGAGGGGAGGAGGAGGAGAAGGAGGAGGGGGAGGAGGAGGAGGGGAGGAGGAGGAGAGGGAGGGGCGCGGTTACGCCGACGCCGACGCCGACGCCGACGGCGACGCCGACGGCGACGCCAACGGCGACGCGGACGCCGCTCAGGCTGGAAACGGGCCCCTAAGAGCTGCGCTCTAAAAAAATAATTCTGAAACTCTATCGAGTCGCAGATTGCCGCTCCTTATCTGGGAAGCGGGTTTCCGCATCGCACGCGGAGAAGCCGTCGTGGCGTGTCGATAGGGTCGTTCGGAGCACCAGCGACAACGTACCCATGACGTTTTAATAGAGACGACGGGAAGAACCTAGATTTAATGGTGGACGTTTCCTGGCAGATCTTCTCAAGTGCATCTGCATTCGGTTGTCTCGTGGCCAGCGTGGCGAGGAAACCGAGCGGAGAAGCGGACACGTTTGCAGACGGTGAGCGCCTTTGACTCCTTGCAGGCTACAGCTCGTTTTGCAAACGCGGCCTACAAACCACGTGACCCCGATCGAGCGGTTGCCCTCTTCCTTATTTCTAGACACTCTATAACGACGAAGCACGAACTTTAACCCGAACTCGGTGCCTTGCGTGCTTTGTCTGCTTCGTGTTCCGTGTCGGCGTCGCTAGTCGGTGTGGTCACTCTCTGGTGCGAAAGTCTAGCTTCGCACAAGCACCGATTCGGCGACTGATCGCCACTCAACTATGGCGAGTCCCGGCACCGTCGGCACCTTGACGGATAGACGAAGGCAATCTTCTTGAAACGAGCGTGCCGCCATCCTCGATGAAGTACGCGTCAACGTAAAGAATGCCGTCCACCGCCGGCGTCCTCCGTGGCGGCCGTCGCAGCTTTCGATAGGGCTCTGGACGCGGTCCGTAGGTAGCTTGCAGGATTTCGCTTCGATCAGAGCTTCTCGCAGTTGGCGAGAAGTGGCTACGATCTAGCAGAGATCGCGTAGGGAAGCCTCGACCGCCTTCTGCAGGCACGATGAACATGTGCCCGTGACTGTTTATGTTATCTTTTTTTCTTTTGTTTTTGTTTTTGTGTGTTACCTTTATCGAGTCTAGATATAACGAAGAAGCGGATGTAGCGAAGTAACTTCAGATTCCAGTCGACATCGTTAAAACTGGTTTTCAAAAGAATACATTTTGCTGTAAATTTAGTTTGACTTCTTAATTTCATGAATGTATATTTTTTTTTCTTTATAATTATGCTGAAGCCAAAGCGAAATTTATCGTTGCTCAAATATTTAACTAATAGCATTCAACCTATGCTCAATTGAATCAAATAAAACTTAATAAAAAAATGAAAGCGGTATAACTCTGGAGCTTTACGTTTTTCTGAAAACGAGCACTTTGAGCAAGCCCCGTAAAAGATGAGCCCGTGGCTTCTTTTTTTGTGATCAGTTTTTATATGAGTTTCGATACTCACCTTCACCTAAAGTCCATGCGCAGTCTACGCTGCTAGCTGACGGAACCAATCAAACAGCGTCAAAAGCGTGCCATCATGGTGTTTGTCATGTTTCTGTACGTGTTTCATCGTCGCTGAACCAATGATAAACAGAAAATGCCCAGTGAATTGTGCTTTTGACGCTGCTTGCTTGGTCCCATCGCCTCCTAGCATTGACTGCGTCCGGTGCCCCCTGCATGCAAGCACGTGCAGCATGCACGTCAAGATAGCCTTCGCAAACCCGGAAGTGCACGTGCTTGCTCAGACGAAGAGCAGCATGGTGGCCGCCAGATGCCCTGTTTGCAATCGTCTATATTCTAAGTACCCTATGAGAATTCCGTTTCAAGAATGATCCACCCGCTTAATTTTCTGCACTTCGAAATATAAACGTCACCCAAAAGACCAATCCAGATATACACTGAATACAAACGCATTATTCTTACGCAGTTGGGTGTAGTCGCAATGCGTATGAAGGTGAGCACGCGATCGTCAACCGCTTCGTTCTGGCAGCGTCACTAATAGCCGATTTAGACTACGGACTGATCCGCGGACGGATTGATCAAGTGACGACTAGTCCGCAATTCGCCCGTCTCCCAAGCTCATCCACACGAGGGAGCAGACGCCAGCGAGGACGAACCGAATACCCCCTCATGCAATGCATTTCATTTAAAATACCTTTGAGGTACAATGAACTAAACAATAAACACTAAACCTGCTTGCCACCGAACAATGCCGCGAAACTCTAACACCGCACCGTGGCAACGTTGTTCAAGTGAGAAATCAACGTACGCTTCCCTTTTGTATCAGATGATCACAGAAACTTTGGATTCTGGATCTAGTCAGTGGTCACCTCTGCCACTTCTCCTTTCGGTGCCTCTTCCGTCTGCGTCTGCTGTTGTGTGACTCGAGCACGTTCCACCGTGCGTTCCGCTTCCCGTTGCCGTGTCCTGCCACCATAATTCCTATCTCGTGTTCGTCACCTCCACCGCCGAGTGAGCGTTCTCCCGCCGCGCTCCGGTCGTCCCCCCTGTTCCTCCAGTACCCCAGGCTTTTCCTGATCTTCACCGCCGCTCCGGCGTAAACCTAGGCCGAAAAACACTGTACCGTTTCCAGACTAAACGACTTTCAAGTCAGTCTCCCGCCGAAACTCCGCGAGTGAAAAGGCGCTCGAATTTATCAGCCGGCCGTTTGAGGACGAGGGTCGGTCCGTCGTCTGAATCGGCTATAAGCGGCAGCCGTGGCGGCTTCCGCGCCTCGCATCTTAACACGCTTGGTTCGTAAAAACTCACAAGCCACCTTGGCAGCAGCTTAATGACGCTGCCGGTACGGAGGGGTCGACAATCGCGTGTTACCTTCAAATAAATCGCTTCTAATACTTCCCGTTTTCCTCAAGGTTCAGACGTTTTTGGTGTAAATTATGAAGGCGATATTGTTTTTAGTTATTTAAATCAAGTCGGTAAGACTAAAAAATTCCAGCAAAAATTAGCACAAACGGTTTCTTAGCTTTATTCTGGTGCGTCCAGAATAAAGTACATAAAGCAATGGGGCAGCTAGTTTTTGTCTACATGCGCTGGTTTTATAAAAAAAAGAAAAAAAGAAACACTTCTGTGGTGGAGAGTTTTATATATTCCTCAGTTACGTGTTCTCCACAAACGGAGGATCATGCCCCTCATCAAAACAAAAAATATAAAAAAAATATTTTTTTCGTAATTCTCTTAGATGAGTTCGCAAGAGCTAGTGGGAAAACAGAAATAGAAAGTAGACAGAATTACCGCACTGAATTATCGCTTCGAAACCATAGACGCAAAAGAAAAGTATCGATGACGTCTAAATAGAAAGTTTTAGCTGACCGTTTCGGTACCTGTGATACCCCCGATAACGATACCCGAGAACTATATACGAGGCATGCACAAAGACGGCGTCGGAGTATCGGCTATCGCTATCGGCTATTGCTAAAACTCTCAAGTGAGATAATCGCCCCAGTTGGAGAAGGATCGTCCTGTTCTCCATTGCCAACTTTTTTTTTAATTGTCCCTTTAAACTAAAATCTGGGGGATTTCACTAAGGCCTCGTGTCTCTCACAAAAACAAGGAAAAATAAAACACCACTTCTCGATCGAGGTCATGATAAAAAATAATACATTAAAGGGGCACTCAAGTCAATTCTGAGATCGGCGGTGACAACTAAATCTAGACACTCTAAGCATCCCAACCAACCCGAAACCGCAACCGTGCGTAGTTTATTTCATCGTTAAAAGCGTGTTCAAAGATCGCGACACGCCCCTTTTGGGAAGAATTTTCTTCCAAGTGAACTGGTCGACGAAGGGCTCTTATCAACGAGTTGCAAGCGATGGCTTCGCCCGCGGAGAAAAAGAGGAGTCTTATCTTAATGTGTACCTATCAGACTTCCTTCGAAACGAGTTATAGTAAAATCATTCGAAATCTGTGCGTATTGTAGGGCTTTCATTGGTCCGCACAATGTAGTCCGCGAGAGAAGAGAGTCCACATGTATTTCCCTTGCCTTGAGATGAATAGGCGTTTTTTTAGATATAGGACTTGGTATATGGGGGAACTAACACATTTAAAACAATATGAGATCAAAAACGACCTATTTTTTAACAATGACTTCAGTGCCCCTTAAAAGCCGCTATTTCGCTCTATGAAACACTTCACCAATTATATTAAAACTATATTGTTTAGTATACAAATAGTA